GAATATTTGAAGAAAGTTAGTTAAAACAATATTATCCTTTCGATCATCATCAGATAAAGGTGCATTATTTGGACGATCAGCAATTGCCGTTTGAAATCCTGCATTTTTTGCAGCACTTATCTCTATATTAATTATTAATAAAAAAAGACTAAGTATATGAAAAACCGAATAATTAAAAAACTTAATACGTAGTGCACTGAATAAAGGTACTCAAGCACCTCACTCGACGGATCAGAGGTAAATTTTTATTTAATCGGCAATTGAATAAATTGATCAAATTGGTCAGTTTATTCAATTATCGACTAACTAAAAATTTTCGAGTGAGTTAATACCCGTGTTGCAAAACACGGATTTCTATTAATTAAACGATATTTTTTAAATTTCTAGGTTGCTCATTACAAATGTGGAATATTAAAAGTTTCTTTCTGCGACACAAACCCATTGTAGAATAATATCCCGAGTCTATCAGTGCACTACGGTAATGAAATTTACCTTTCACATTATCGCTCAAAAATAAAATATCCTTCGGTTCCACTCCAATGTGTTTAGCAATATTCAGATAACTATCTTTTTCAAGTTTAGAACCAATAGTTGTGTCAAAATAACCTGAAAAATACTAATAAACATTCGAACATTAGAGGTTTTTGTATTGCTTGAAATAAGCCATTAATACTTGATAATTGGAAACTGTTTGCAATAATACTAAAAAATCAGATGAAGTAAAATTATTAGATGGAATTAGTCGTATAACAATCAAATATAATCAAACCTCTCTAAATACACGGGTCTAAACTTTTACCGTGATTTTTAGAGAATAATTAGAAAAAGTGCATTTATAGAAGTTAAATATATGGGGTGTCAATAGAAACCAAGTAGATTTATTAGACAAATTTGCTTGGTTTCTATTGACTCCTCCCATATATTAAAATGGTTGTGCATTTAGAATCTCACTGTAACTTGATATAAAAGCTGTTTTTCTAGAAGATTATTTAATAAAATATTTTATTACCACTTTAACAAATAAATATATAGACTACTTAATATGTATTATATTTTTTTCTTATGAACCACCTATCTCCTCTTACTCACTTTACACCAACGGATTCTAATTCTTTTTTTAAGATCATCGATACAAATTATTATTAGAAGCACAGTTGACCCCTCGCTAATATCAACCCATTTGAATCGCTTTTTTATTTATGTTGATAGTGATATTAATGAGGGATCATATTTAAAGTTGATATATATGTTGTAGGTGGATTCGGAATTTGTGGATTTTGAATCGACTTTAATAGATATAGAATTTTAAAAATTGTAAGCAACGATAATAAAGGAAACATGTACTTTTATAGCTGCATTATCATTATAATATTTATTTTTTTATAACATGTTCACTATTTTTGTATACATTGTTTCCACATATCAAATTAGAACGTCTATATTCGTAAGAATTTTTCTTTTTTTTTGCATTTTCATTTTAACGATAGTGACAACTTCTATAGCTGAAAAGAATTTTTAAATCGATCTTTTGAAGTTCCAAATTCGTAAATTATAAAATTTTTAATTGGATTGTGAAATAAAAGCTTTACGACATCTTACAAGTGATTTCTTTTTTTTAAAAAAAAATTAACTAATTAATTCATTAAAAACCTGTCTTATAATAAAATGATCTTAAAAACTTTCGCGAAATACAGTACAATTATTTTAAATACATATAATTTATGATTACTAATATTCGATTATTTAATTTATTTTTATCTGAAATCGACTTATTGCGCTTTGCAAAAAGATGTGACCTCTGCAGATCACAATGTCGCGTGAAAATCTTTTTGCAAAGCGCTACAAGTTGTAATCCATTTGAGTGGATTCTGGATTCAAAATTCCGGATCCACCTACAACATAGGGGGATGGCAAATCGTGAATTTTAGGTAGCGCACCCACAAAAAATTTTCCCCACCCGTGATTTATA